TGTTCGTGTTCTACCCGTGCTGAAGAGTTTGTCTTTGTCCACCTTGTCAATTTCCCTGAGAATGTTGGTGGTGTTTGTGTGTGTGTGTGTTTGTGTGTGATGACCAAGATACATACATATGTATACACATACATATTTATATATATGTTACATACATATATATTGTTATATATATATATACATATTTATATATGTGTGCGTATGGGTGGGGTATGTGTCAAGGTGAGGTGCGATGGGCTGGCAGGGAGAGAGAGAGAGAGAGAGAGAGAGAGAGAGAGAGAGAGAGAGAGAGAGAGAGAGAGAGAGAGAGAGAGAGAAGGTGGATTTAGGGTCAGCAGTGCTAGCTCGAAAATTCTGAACTTGGCATTCATTACCATTCCGTATCGTGTGTAATACCCACCTGAGCTCTTGTATATATATGCATTACCCTAAGTCATCCTGTTTTATTAGATATAATATCCACGGTAAATATTAGTTGGATTACATTCAGAGAAAAAGAGACAAGGCTATAGAAGCTACAAAGTCGTAATAGCTTAGCGCTAATCATTACCTTAGCTTACCAACTACAGGAAATTCCAGTACCATCGCCAAGATAAGGCAAGATTGGAAGGAAATACCGTCCTCCATATTGGTACATTTGGGTTTTGTTATTGTGGGGATCACACGTGTCTGTGTTTGGCTGCACCGAGCCCGATGTGAACTGATGCAATCCGGTTCTACATTGTTGCCAAACACTTCAGGACTTGTACATCTCCATAAATTGGTTTACGTTTTGGTAGTATTTCAATAACTGATGTGTATATTTATATATACATATGTACCGTTGCCAAAGGATAAGTAATTACATACAATTCATTGATGGTTTATTACGTGACGCTTGGCAACAGCGCATGGTAGCCTCCCATGTATGTGTGTTCGTGTGTGCGTTGTGGGTTGGCATTCTCAGAAGTGACAGCAAGAGCCAGCGATGTTAAATTCCTCTATTTGTTTTTCTTTTATTCTGTTCCTATTATTTTTATAACTTTGACATGCTGTGTGTTAATAAATATCTTCGCTGTATATCTGGTTTTATATCTTAGTATATGAACAGGTAGTATTACACATAAATAATAAACTCTTCTGCAGTTGCAACTCACACGTAAACACAACACACCCCCGTAAGATCCCTCGTGATTGGTTCATCGTATTTGGCGTCAGCGCTGGCCAATAGGAGCTCACGATTTTCTGCTTGCGTCATGCCCACCCTTGTCACATGATCACAACAAGAAGAATTAGAGTTAGTAGTGAGAGACAAACCGTGGTGGAAGGTCGTGTGTATGTGAAGCTAAACATTTCTGGTGTCGCTGGCAGTGATATATCAAGTGGTGCATAATAATTCTTTTGTGCTTGTGATTAAGGTATACGTAAGCTTATCGCTGCAGTGATACATATCAACTCGACGTAAGAGAGCCAAGGTGAGTTAGACCAATATTGCTTAACTCCGGTCGAACTCTGAATTCCCGACTGCCAGACGTATGGTGTTGCGGACAACATATGTAATACAGTATGAATATGTAGCCACATATAATGTCAAGGGATACCAAGTGCTGTGCTCGGTATTTTGTAATAATATTTTTTGCCAGGCACCATTTTTTTTTTTGAACTCGTGCTTGTAAGTCATGTGACCAGTTTTTCTAGTCTGCCAAGAGAAAAGGAGCGTGGCAATACTTGCTCGTAAACCAGCACATTGCGAAGTATGTTTTGATTCTTAAAGTAAAGCTTCTTAGGCTGTTACATCCTCTGCAACCTTGCAAGCAATTCACATGATGCACCGCGAGTTGTTGCGTTTATGGGCTGCGACAGGCCTCAAGGGTTCTCAACTGGCACATTACTTAAGGGTACTTAAGTGGCATGTTACGTATTGTATAATATATACTGTATATAATAATATATATTAGTCATGCTGTATATATTTGTTAGTCATGCGACAGAGAATGTAAGGAACTTAATGATTAGTGACATAGGGTAAAAGGGATAGTCTAATCCTCAAAATTGTCATGAAGTTTTTCATTATTATTGATTCAGCTGATAACAGGATAAGATAAGATAAGCTGGCGCTACCCTTAAGTGTCGGGTGGATGGTACTGAATGTCGGCTGTCTGTCCTCCACTGACATAATGTGTTGACTTCAGCATTTATTGATTGTAAATTTATGGTTGTCATGCACTTGGTCGAAATGTTGACTAAATATGGCTGTGAAAAGTTTGTGCAGAAGTCTGGCGTCTAAATGTCAACGAATGAGACGCTCGCATTCTTGTGTTTTTGTATATGATTAGTTATCGGCTGTCAGTAACTCACTTTGTTTAAAGTTGCCAGTTGTGTTTGTGTTGAAGAGGCTAGGCAAGTTTTTATCACAGCACCTTCAAGACATGTTCAGTAGCCTCGTCATGCCCTCATTCAACTTCACACTGAAACCTTGTTGATGTTTCGAAGTAGCGACCATAACGTCTGACTGCAGCCCGTCCTCATAAACAAAGGCCAAAGTCCTTTCCATGCACCCACCAAACCCCCAGGTGTTTATGAATGAAAAACTGTTTACACACGACTCACAACTGATGACGTCCGAACACTTCCGGAACATGAGCTTCTCTGACGATTTTTGTTCGAACCACAACTCTGTAAATGCTTCACTCACATACTACAAAATACAAATAATCGCCAACAGAACCTAAACACCTAACCTAACCAACGCCTAAATATGCACAGTATGCTAATATATAATAATAATAATTTATATTTGAGAAAACTCGTATTTTGAATACGTAGCATGTTAAAATGTATGAATGCGTCTTTGGGGTCGACCGCTGGATGGAATGGACTTGGTCTGAGGACGGGTTGCTAACTGATATAATCACACTTCGAATGTTCGTAAATCCAAAGTTCGTTATGTGTTGGCAGTGAGAGATAAGAGTAGTGCCACATAAGGTTATCTTAGGGCACGTTGGGTCCATTTTCCAGTTCTGAATATTATTAAAACCTGTTGAGAGAACAAGTTTTGCATTAGGTTAAGCATAAGTCGGCATACGTAACTATCTTATTGCAAGAATTTTTTGATTGCTAACTCGACAAAATATATTTCTGCGCGGGGAATTTGTTATGTTTTGTAGATTTTATTTATAGTGCTGCCTACAGAAGTTTGACTTGCACGTGCTACTTCCGTTATTTTTCTCGAGAGTAGTAATAATGCAATTATTTCTACAATTTACTTTGTAGTTATTTTTCTTTGTAATAATGTCAATCGAAAATATATTCGTCTTTACAATGTTTACTTAGCTCATGTGGCATTCTTCATTAGTAAAAGCGTGCCTTAAGTGACCATGTTATGCATTAATTAACTCGCGGTGCTACATTTTAAAACTATTGGCAAGTAATGTTGTCGTTCTTTTCAGGAAGTAGGCAACAAGGCATACCTGTTATGAACCTTGCCCTGGCAGTGCAATGGTAAGTAGGAGCCTAAATACTTCGTTACTTGCATGCTACTTCAGAGGATGGCATGATCCTCTCCACTCATAGCATAAACTATATATAATTTCGTTTTCTGTGTAGGGAAATATTGTTACTTCAATATTTCAATATTCAATATTGTTAGTAAATTATTGTAGAATTGCTGCTTCAAATACTGTTTATAAAGTGTTTATTGATAAGGTGAGAGGTAATGATAAGATTATAATTTGTGACTGTTGTTACCAGCCACAAAGTGTATGTAAACAAACGGATGATTGATGGGAGTTGGGATCCCAGGCGCCTTTGTTGACATCTTTGCAAGGTCACACGACATGTGCGTTCAATTAAATATTCTAAGGTGACTTTAAAGAAAAACAAATACGTATGACGTGTTTTGAACATTTATATTTAATCAAGTACGTTAGATTCTACATGCTTCCTTTTCATATACTTAACCCAACTAGCTGCAACACGCTCAAAGGCTTATTTCAGACCACATTAACTTTTAATTAGTTAAGTTTTGTATTGTGTAAACAATACCTCTTCTGTGAGAGGTAGTAGCAAAGTTACTTCACTAACTTCACTTGAGCCCAAAGCACGCAGTGGGCTCAAGAACTGAGCTCCAAAATTCATTAATTTAGCAAAGCAAGTTGCAGTATTAACGAGCTAGATACTCAGTTGATTAACATATACATCAACAGTTTTATTTTAATTATCTTATTATGAAGCTAATCTCCATAGGCTTCCCTAACACTGAAGCCAGTTGGCCTTCAGTGCCTTCAATATTAGATTATGTTAACGATTCTTATATTTCTTAAAAAGTGTACACTTATCTTTTGAGTATATGCTGTAGTTAATTTTTAACAATTAAAACATAATTTTTTCCATAATTTTTGCATTCCTAAGTCTTCCATTATCTCAACTCCAAAGATATCTTAGCATGTTAAAAGTTTTCCACGCAATCTGAGGCTTCACCCTGGAAACACAAACCGAAACTGTCTCTATTTTCCGCTTGTTACAACTTGTAATAAAGTTATTACATCTTGGCTTAACGTGTTTATGACGTATTAGAACGTTGTTACAACTTGCTATATTGGTTGTTATAACTGGTTAGGAGATGTTAAAACTTGTTCGAACGTTGTACCAACGTCGTAGTTTCGCTGTGTGTTTGGCGGGATATAGCCTCACATGCTTCGTGACATGGCTTAATGGGGTATGTCACACCACCGGAATAATCTCACCACACTTGGAGAAACCATTCACGAGGCTATAGTGCTCATCACATGGGAATGTGTGTGTGTGTGTGTGTGTGTGTGTGTGTGTGTGTGTGTGTGTGTGTGTGTGTGTGTGTGTGTGTGTGTGTGTGTGTGTGTGTGTGTGTGTGTGTGTGTGTGTGTGTGTGTGTGTGTGTGTGTGTGTGTGTGTGTGTGTTAGTTCTGCTGTTGGTGGATGCTCTTCCACACGCTCCAAGCCGCAAAGTCTGACTTAGCACACTTGAAATTGAAATTGAAATAAGTTTATTGAGGTAAAATACACACAAAGGGATGAGTCAGCTCAAGCTATTCTCACCCCCGTTCAGTACATCGTGTTAATACATACATAGACACACATCACAAACAATAAATGTATTACCGAACATTCTCAGAGATAAACATATACATTTTCTTAGCAGTCTTAGTATAGTTTAATGGGGTGAGAATAGCTTGAGCTACCTCATCCCTTTGTGTATATTTTACCTCAATAAACTTATTTCAATTTCAATTTCAATAGTATAGTTTAATTTTACACGCTAGAATGGACACAAGCTGGAAAACTTTTGTTTTAGGGGGGGTTATAGGGAAGTACTGGTTTGGAAACAAGGTTGTGGTTGAATTAAATAGGCGTTATAGCCTGTCCCGTCATCTTAAATATTACATCGCATTTGACGTATAAACCCCCCTAAGGCCAAAAATTTATGTACCAAACATCATAGTTCGCAAAATTGATGAGATGTCCCGTTTTCTATTCGTGGATCCTCGGTTAGGTTAGGTTATCATAGTTCGCAAAATTGATGAGATGTCCCGTTTTCTATTCGTGGATCCTCGGTTAGGTTAGGTTCAGGTAATGTAGTACATCAATGTAGTGACGTTGTGAGCACTTCAGAGGATGGGTGGAATAAACAGTTTTTGTACCAGTGGAAAAGTGCTTACGACACAGGGTGAGTACATCATTATTCCAGCATGGGGACCAGTTATCTCAGGGCTTGGCTAGGAATTCCAGGGATAGGCTAGCTATCCTCAACCATACTAGATAATAACTTTGAAACTATATAATGAGCTGAAACTATATAATGAGCATTATTTAACTATATTATGACACGTGTCAGCTAAATACAAGATCTTTGTGTTGGAACGGATGTGTCGTCTTGTTAGGCCAATCTCATGTTTTAATTGCATCCTTCATTGAAGTGCATTCCTGAAGTTCCCTTGTTATTGCATGTGTCCTATTAACTAGGTCATACACATAATTTGTTGAACTTCATAGAAAACAATGTTATTGTCAATTATCATAAACAGGCTTATTAAGCGTGTTGTCGATATAAAAATGATGGTGTTGAACGAGAACACTGTTGGTACAATGGGGTAAAATGTAGCTACTGGAGCGCAGATGGAGAATAGTGGGTCCGCCTAAGCTTGTTGACATGCGGCAGGGCAGCCACGTGCGTCCCTCTCCTGACCTACCCCAAGGATCACGCTTCGGAATTTCCCCATTGCAATATTCATGCTAACATGCCTTGGGTCCAAGTGGGTTCTGGGAATGCCTGGTCATCATGGTGCTCTTGTGACACACAAGGTGCAGTGTTTTCCCCCTTCCCTGGAGGATAACAGTTTGGTCAGCATGTAACCCATTTGATTCAATTTTACTTTTTCATTGTAAATAATTTAGCATTATTTGTCTGTTGTGCTCTAAGGTCACTGACAACGTTGTAGGCTCGGGTTGAAGCTTCATTTCCGTGAATCAGAATTTAATTTATATGAATTTTCATATCAGCTCGCATAACTGGTTCAGAACCTGTAGAGTGGCATTGTTTGTATCCTATTATTGTAGTTCAATTGTATTATATTCTAAACAAAAGAAGAATAAGAGAGTAGTATGATAAATGATGCTTATGCGGCTGACCTTGAAGCTAACACACGGACTCGTCTTGTCATGTGACTTTAGGCAAGAGGAAGAAAGAGGAGACGGACCATATGCCAACTGAGGCGTTGTGCAAGTACATGATATTTAAGACGGGATGAGAGTCACAGTGTAGTAGAAGTTGCAGCTTAGCCGAAACTTACATTTTAACTTGTGCTGTTGAAATATATTTATATATAGCAATAATTGTTGGCTTTTTGCATATGGTTTGCCAAAATCGGGGACAGGAGGCTACAAGCCTGTTAGGCTTATCTAGGGACACACGAAGGCTAATGTTTGACCTTTTATTTTTTATTTATTATTTTCTACCACAGACGTGGCCACACATTTACAATGCTAACCAGCATATATTCATTTCTTAGGATGCGATCCACAACAGTTCTCAACTCCCAGGTACCTCTATACTGTTAGGTTTACTGCATTATGTGTAAAGAATCATGCCCAAGCGTCACTTTCTGACCTGAGAATTGAACTCTGGTCCAATAGGCTGTAAGCTAACTACTGGGCCGAGATTTAGAAATAGGAATCTTGCCTTTTTTTGTTATGAATCGCAACATTGGGTAACGAACATAGTTTAAAATAAAGATATTATTGTTTAATTTGTATAAACTTAAGTTATTCTATAATATAACTGAAAAGGAATACAGTACTTATGGACGATTTATGGGATTTATGGGAACAAGCCAAACCAAATGGGTTTGGCTTGTTCATTCCAGCAGTTATGGATGCACAATTGCACTAATTATTCAAGTATGGTATTGTCAATTCAGCAGGATGATACCAGTAGCCACATGCTGTTATATATTGAACAACGGCAGATTTTTCAGATTCAGAAGTTGTTAAATACTCTGAACATAACTTTACCACAGCCAACGTATGAATCATTCTCCAATTTATATATATAAATACAAGATTGATATTTATATATAAATTGGAGAATGGGAATAGGCTAGCAAAATAAAATTTGCTCCTAAAATGTAAATAATTAATCAGGTGTGTTAATGTCATAGAGACTTGTGAGGTGTAGTGCAAGTACTGGAGCTATGAAGCAAAATACATAAGGGGTGTACAAATCCACAAGGGGGCCGTGACGAGGATTCGAACCTACGTCCGAGATGATCCCAGACGCTGCCTTAATCGACTGAGCTACGACATGGTCAAAAAAGAGTTGAAACCGAAGTTCTACCGAACTTATTGGATCCTGCAGCCTCTCCGAGACACAAACCAGGGTTTTACACAACTCCCCCATGCACCCGAGCTATGTCAATGGGCCGTGTTATACAAGGGATGTATTTACGAAGATTTTGTACACAATTTCACTCTATACACTGAGAGTTTAAGTTAGTCTTGGACTGTGTTCAGGGCTAAAGTTATGGCCGCTTTAATAACATTGCGCGACACTATAATGGTCCAGAACGGACAAAAACGTCAATTCCTTTACTTTAGATTTGTGGGCTGGGGGGTCTCAGCCCCCTATTGTGACATACTGCCTCCATCAGCATTGCAGGCAAAGCAATGCACTGGGGCCCCTACCCATATGACGGGCCCCGCCTATCCGCTAAAGTGCTTGCAGCATGGCCCTCAGATAGTCACAAATTATTTTCATTTATAAATATAATTTGAAAAGGGATTTCAATTCCAGACCTTTCTAGAGAGAAGTGTGCCCCTACTTTAAGACGGCACGGTGTAAGGTGTACTTGCTGGTTGGTTGGTAGGCTATTGTGGTGGTCTTAATAACCCTCCAGAGGCTGATAGACCTTAAGCCCAACACCAAACCAAGCAAACTATGCTTGGTTTATATATATATATATATATATATA